TGTGTATTGATTTTGTATCCTTCAATTTTGCTAAATTCACTGATTAGCTGTAGTAATTTTCTGATACTATCTTTAGGGTTTTCTACATTCAGTATCATGTCATCTGCAAGCATTGAGAGCTTTAATTCTTTTTTTCCAATCTGGATTCCTTTTCTTTCTTTCTTTTTCTTCTTTGCTTGCTTTAGCTAGGAAGTATGCTGAATAATAGTGGCAAAAGTGAACATGCTTGTCTTGTTCCTGATCTTAGGGGGAATGCTTTCAGTTTTTCATCATTGAGAATAACGCTTCCTGTAGGCTTAACATATATGGCCTTTACTGTGTTGAGGTAGGTTCCTTCTATGCCCATTTTTTGAAGAGTTTTAAACATAAATGAGTGCTGAATTTTGTCAAAGGCTTTTTCTGCACCTATTGAGATGATCATATGGTTTTTATCTTTCAATTTGCTAATATGGTGTATCACATTGATTGATTTGCATATATTGAAGAATCCTTGCATCCCTGGAATAAACCCAATTTGATCATGGTATATGAATTTTTGATGTGTTGCTGAATTCTGTTTGCTAAAATTTTGTAGAGGATTTTTGCATCTACATTCATCAGTGGTATTGGCTTGTAGTTCTCATTTTTTTGTGTTGTCTTTGTCTGGTTTTGGTATCAGAGTGATGGTGACCTCGTAGAATGAATTTGGAAGTGTTCCTTCCTCTGCAATTTTTTGAAAGAGTTTTAAAAGGATAGGCATTAGCTCTTCTCTAAATGTTTGATAGAATTCTCCTGTGAAGCCATCTGGTCCTGGGCTTTTGTTTTTTGGGAGATTTTTGATCACCATTTCAATTTCAGTGCTTGTAATTGGGTTGTTCATAATTTCTATTTCTTCCTGGTTCAGTCTTGGAAGATTGACCTTTTCTAAGAATCTGTCCATTGCTTCCATGTTATCCATTTTATTGCCACATAGTTGTTCACAATAGTCTCTTAAAATCCTTTGTATTTTTGCACTGTCTGCTGTAAACTCTCCTTTTTCATTTCTAATTTTGTTGATTTTATTCTTCTGTCTTTTTTCTTGATGCGTCTGCCTAGAGTTTTGTCAATTTTGTTTATCTTCTCAAAGAACCAGCTTTTAGTTTTATTAATCTTTGCTATTGTTTCTCTCATTTCTTCCTCATTTATTTCTGCTTGGATCCCTATGATTTCTTTCCTTTTACTAATTTTGGGGTTTTTTTGTTTGTTTGTTTGTTTGTTTGTTCTTTTTCCAGTTGTTTTAGGTGTAAATTTAGGTTGTCTATTCGATGTTTTTCTTACTTCTTGAGATAGGATTATATTGCTATAACCTTCCCTCCCTCTTAGGACTGCTTTTGCTTCATTTCATAGGTTTTGAGTTATTGCATTTTTAATGTGATCCCTATCAAATTACCAAAGACATTTTTCACAGAACTAGAACAAAAAAAAAAATCACAATTCATATGGAAACAAAAAAGACCCCCAATAGCCAAGGCAGTCTTGAGAAAAAATGGAGCTGGAGAAATCAGCCTTCCTGACTTCAGATTATTCTACAAAGCTACAGTCATCGAAACAGCATGGTACTGGCACAAAAACAGAAATACAGTACAATGGAACAAGATAGAGAACCTAGAGATAAACCCATGCACCTGTGGGTACCTTATATTTGACAAAGGAGGCAAGAATATACAACGGGGCAAAGATAACCTCTTCAATAAATGGTGCTGGGAAAACTGGACAGCTACACATAAAAGAATGAAATTAGAAAACTTCCTAACACCATACACAAAGATAAACTCAAAATGGATTAAAGATCTAAATGTAAGACCAGAAACTATAAAACTCTTAGAGGAAAATATAGGCAGGACTCTTGATGATATAAATCAAAGCAAGATCCTCTATGACCCACTTCCTAGAGTAATGGAAATAAAAACAAAAGTAAAGAAGCGGGACCTGATTATAAATTTAAAAGCTTTTTTACAGCAAAGGAAACTATAAGCAAGGTGAAAAGACAACCCTCAGAATGGGAGAAATTAATAACAAATGAAACAACTGACAAAGGATTAATTTCCAAAATATACAAGCAGTTCATACAACTCAATACCAGAAAAACAAACAGCCCAGTGAAAAAGTGTGAAAAAGACCTAAACAGACATTTCTCCAAAGAAGACAAACAAGTGGCTAACAAACACATGAAAAGATGCTCAGCATCACTCATTATTAGAGAAATGCAAATCAAAACTACAATGAGATATCACCTCACACCGGTCAGAATGGCCATCATTAAAAAGTACAAACAACAAATGCTGGAGAGGGTGTGGAGAAAAGGGAACGCTCTTGCACTGTTGGTGGGAATGTAAATTGATACAGCCTCTATGGAAGACAGTATGGAGATTCCTTAAGAAACTAGGAATAAAAGCACAATATGACCCAGCAATCCCACTCCTAGGCATAAATCCTGAGGAAACCAAAATTGAAAGAGAAATGTGTATCCCATTGTTCATTGCAGCACTATTTACAGTAGCTAGAACATGGAAGCAACCTAGATGTCCATTGACAGATGAATGGATAAAAAAGGTGTGGTACATATACACAGTGGAATATTACTCGGCCATAAAAAGGAGCACATTTGAGTCAGTTTTAATGAGATAGATGAGCCTGGAACTTATTATACAGAGTGAAGTGAGTCACAAAGAGAAAGAGAAATACCATATTCTAATGCATGTATATGGAATCTAGAATAATGGTACCAAAGAATTTATTCACAGGGCAACAATGGAGAAACAGACATACAGAATAGACTTATGGACCTGGGGAGAGGGGAGGAGAGGGTGAGATGTATGGAGGGAGTAACATGGAAACTTACATTGCCATATGTAAAATAGATAGCCAATGGGAATTTGCTGTATGGCTCAGGAAACAAACAGTTGCTCTGTATCAACCCAGAAGGGTGGAATGGGGAGGGAGATGGGAGAGAGTTTCATAAGGGAGGGAACATATATATGTATACCTATGGCTGATTCATGTTGAGGTTTGACAGAAAATAACAAAATTCTGTAAAGCAATTATCCATCAGCAAAAAAAAAAAAAAATAAGTTTTTTAAAAGTTGGGTGGATCATTGAAATCCTCTGCTTCTCCCCCAGTATTAGTAAACCTTAAACAAGTCCACTCTGTGTATGCTATTTGGAGGAATTTGTAAAGATGGCAAAAACCTGATTTGGAATTTTATAGATAATAGTCTGGTATGTTAATCAAGGTAAAGATTGCCAGAGGGGCCAGGCTCTTCTGTTTGCCCTCCAGCCAAGGGCCTGGAGACCAAAAGACATACCTATATGCACAGGTAAAATGACTCCAAGCAGGGAAGTGCATGGCTGTGCAAAAATGATTTAATGTTAACAACATATACGGTAGGTGAAACCACACAGACCCAGAAGAGGGAAAAGGGCAAAGGCCTTTAGAAGAGATAAGTGCAGGCCTGGAGAAAGTATGGGACAAGCTGAATTCACTTTTGATTTGGAGCAGTATTGAGAAGGCAAGATTTGCTAACTGGAGATTAGAGGGAATTCTCTTTCAGGAGGAAAGCAAAGGATAGAAGTCAACTTGGAAAGAAAATGAGGCTCTAGCAAAATGGGTCAGACAGCATATAATACTGGATGTGGACTAAGGCTGTAGGAAACGTTGTAGGCTTGCACCTGATACAACAGGGCCTCTTGATATTTAACACAAATGGAAATCAAGGTGGCAAGGGAGAGTGGCCCTCCAACCTAGCTGCTGAAGCTCAAGGGCACACCTGTAGGACCACATGGCCTCCAACATCTGAAAGTTCTCTGGAGAGACTTGCAACTTACGTCAATGAACCATGACTGCTCTCATGCCCAGAGCAGGTGGAAAAAAGACTTGTATTATAGTTGATAAGGATAGGAAACATTCTGAATACCCATCTTCCCCCCAAGAGAGAGGTGGGCCTTGCTACATATCAATACACAATGGAAACAATACACAGTACAAAGCCAGACACTCTGTCTCAGTTCAGGGGATGAAAGCCACAAAAACAGAGGAGCAAAAAGCCTTCTGGGGGAGGTGGGGGGAATGGTCAGTGTTGACTAGAGGGCAGAGGGAGGTGGATTAGTCATGGGAGATATACCACCTAGTTCCACATGCATAGCCCTCCTGACAGCAATTGCCCTCTTTCAGAGTCAGTGAAAGAGCACATGTCTGGCGCAAGTCTGGAGTTAGACAGCCAAGTCAGTCTTGAGAAATCAATTTAACGGTTTCACATATTCATTTCCATATAGGTAGAAAGGTGACAATCCTAGCACCTTATATTAGGATTCATCTGAGGATTGAAAAAGTCCATGTCTGCAAATCATTTAAACAATGCCTGGAGCCTAAGAAAGCATACACTGCATTAGTTATTATAGTCACTATTAGTATGAATAAATCTATAATCAACAGTGCCACAGGAAGGGCATTGATAGATCACAGCCTCTCTCTCAGGTGCTTGACTGAAGTCCACTATGTAGGATGGAAGGGATAGAGTGGGGGAAGGCCAAAAAGCTAGTTAAAAAGTCATCGGGTTTCTTTACACACATTGTCCTGCATACCCATGCTCTGAAAAGTCCAGCCTCTTCTCTACCTGTATTCAAACCTAAGATACTCCATGCCACACAAACACCATGGGCATCAGCCAAGGAGAGGGGCTCCATATCTTTTACAGGCAAGTGCATGGGGCTGAGAATCAGGCGCACCCACATGTTAAGTCTACCATTAACCTCTCTTACAAACCACTTTCCCTGTCAGGCAGGTCTGATATGAGAATAAATTCAATTGGCCTCTCCACCCACTAGGACCCAAAAGCGGCAAAGTCAGCTGGAGGCACCACCCCAGTGCTTATCCCTCCTGGCTCCAGAAGACCTCTGGGGTCTGGACAGGCTGCAGCTTCCCAGTGTCCCCTGTGTGCTGCCCTCCCCCCCCCCCCAGCGGCCTCCAGCAGGTGAAACCCTACCCTGTTTAGCTTCCGGTAGACGGTAAGTCCCCTGGATTCCATCTGCCGATTCCAGCCTAACAGCCCGGGATTCTGAAGTTCCGCGCAAGCCTCCTGGAATTGCTCCTCAGAAAAACTCCTGGAAGAGGCCATTCTTCCACAGCCACAAGTCCTCTGCCTGCAAGGGAGGCCACACACAGCCTTAGTATGTGTTAAGGATCAGGGCAAGAGTGTGGCCAAGAGTGATTGGCAGGAACCAAAGAAGAGATAGGGTAGAAGATGGAACTTATCTATGCACTTGCTGGCAATGTAGCCTACTTTCCTAAGTTAAAAGCCATCTGGTTCTCTAAACAAGCTTCTTAACTTCACTTTCTCTTTTCTCCCAGATTCCTTCTTCCCACTCACAAATTTATTTGCGCACCCAAAGTTTATTTTTTTTTTCAAGGAACCATTAGAACAGCGATGAAAAAAAAAAACTGGAAACATTAAAAGGACTGGTGATTATATGAAATCTATTCCATATCGAGGGTGCTCCAAAGAATCTAGAGCTGTGTTTCCCAAAGGAAGACTAATGGGGTCTTGAGTTAGCCCCAGAGAAGGCCACTCCTGCTTTCAAAGCCTTGATCTTCTTCAGGAAACTGGGATAAATGTAAAACCCAGATCTGTTCATTACTATGATCAGGGACAATGTGATCTACAGAATGACTAACAGCTAATAAATGTTGACACCAAAAGCATCTGTCACTACCATGAGGTAACTCCTATTATAGATTATCCCCACTTGAGATTTGAACCTTGGACACTTTTCGTTGATGTCTACAGTATTATCAGGTGAGCTGGGGATGGAGCAGTTGTTAGCTTAAAATGAACCCTGGCGTGAGACAAGGGACAACTCCAGAGATGTTAGAAGTCAGGTCATGCCCAGTGTTGCTGGGGCTGTACCCGTCTCCAATCTTTGATTTCAAAATGGCTTTCACAGTGAATTGCATCTGGTGAGTGGAACAAGAATTAGACTCGTGGAAACTGACCAATCTAACAAGCCAGGCGGACACAATCTCCAAGGCCTTGTTCACAGCAAGAATATCCAGAGTAGTAATTAGATAACTACAGCAAGAATCTTGAGTAGTAAACTAGAGGTGTAATCTCATTTGGAAAAGGAGAGGGCATCAGGACTGCAGTTCTAGATTGCAGACTGGGTGCATGAAGGGGAAAATGATAGAAGAAATGAACTGCAACACAAATGTACACAGTCCTCCTAGTAACCAATCTTGCTAGTGCAGCTCAAAACTAATTAGCAGCAAGCAGTGTGGGAGTCCCTCAGTCATCTAGGGTCATGAATTTGGGGCCAAGGGTAATATAATACCAACCTGGAATGGGAGTCATGATGCCTTATTCATCTTAATCAGGAAAAGGTAAGGGAGCTGAGCCTGTACCTGGGGAGCATCAGCAGAAGCAGCTGTGACCAGCTGGGAACTCAGAAGCAGTGAGAGCAAGGCTGGTGCTAAGGTAGCACTGAAAAAGCTATAATACCTGTTAACGTGTCCACAGTGAGTACCATAAGGCGCTCTGTCGATAACTGCCTGGACTAGAATCCACTAAAAATGACTCTTCCCACCATAAAGAATTTGTATATGACATTGACATGCAGAAATAGAAGGAAGAGGAGACTGGAAAATAGCTTTTTGCCTTGAAGCAAAAATACAAGCTTCCGGGGTATTTCTTTCATAAGATTCTATTTTATATCTTAATTTTCAGATTTTGCTTTCTCATGCATAAAAAAATCTGGTAATGAGAAGATAAAGAGAAGGAAAGAAATGACCATGGAGGAAATTTTAGCTTCATATTAATGTAAGCATTTCCCAAGCTCTATTTTTCAGTTATTTGGGGGAAAACATTTTAAAAGATGCATCTACTTGCTTTTCCTTCTCAGAAGATTCAACTTTGAACACAAGAGATTATTTTAATGGTAAAGACAGTGTATTCTATCCAAGATAACAGTGGAGGTCGATGTTAAAATTTATCAGCAAAATAGAATAAATATTTGTAGTACGAAGGTTAAAAGTCTGACAGGGAATTAAGCTGCATATAGGAGACCAACTCAGCAACCAACTTTTAAAAACAAATAATTTAATACTATATCTCCCAGATGATGATGTTTTTCTGTTTTCTTTATCCATTGGAAAGTGAACTCCAGGAGGGCAAGGAATTTCATCTGTTTTGTTTACTGTTGATGATTCAGATGGTAAAGAACCCAACTGCAATGCAGGAGACACAGGAGACGAGTTTGGTCTCTGGGTCAGGAAGATCCTTTGGAGAAGGAAATGGTAACCCTCTCTGAATACCCTCTTTGCTTCTAGAACTTATGTCCAATACTGATATCATCTTCCATTTCACCTCCCTACCAGTCTAACTGAATGTAAACCATTTCTTAACACATTATTGACAAAAGACTTATTAATGCCACAGGTGTTAGTTTCTGAAAAAAATTTCCAGTCAAAAATGTGTTAATTAATGGCCATTGATTTCCCCAGGTTCCTATCTTAAACTTTATTCAGCTCAGTTCAGTTCAGTTCAGTTGCTCAGTCGTGTCCGACTCTTGGCGACCCCATGAACCGCAGCACGCCAGGCCTCCCTGTACATCACCAACTCCTGGAGTTTACTCAAACTCATGTCCATCGAGTCGGTGATGCCATCCAGCCATCTCATCCTCTGTCATCCCCTTCTCCTCCTGCCCTCAATCTTTCCCAGTCATCCTTTATTCTTTTATCTTAAAACTCATATGATCCATGAAGTCCTCTAAATGCATTACATTATACATACTAAATACATTAAATTACTTTTAAAGATTTTATGTATAATATAAAATATTTAAATATGCTCCTTTCACCTCTCACTTAAAAACTAAGATTGCTGTTATTTAGTTTTTATGATTTCTCACCCAGACCTTGCCAAAATCTTGCTAGCTCAAGGATAGCAAAAGCTCAGCTTATGCCTTCTGTCACTTTCCCTACTTTCCCTTCTTACACTAAAGACAAGTTTGTTTCCTTGTTACTGGAGACATTCCTGCTGAGTCCAGATGCAGTTCTGAAGCCCTTCTCAAAGCAGCAGTCCATAGAGACAACACTAGACTTGATAAACAAGTGGAATCCCACCTTTCCTGTCCTCTCACCAGATGGTATGCAGATAGTATAGACTGTCCCAGCATCTAGCCCTGGCTGCAGGGACTAGGGTAGACGGCAGTATGGTTCAGCAGGCCAAGAGCGAAACTACAGGCAGGGGTGGTGTTACATCAGAATGCTGTTACTGCTTGCATTCTGCTTAAAGCTCATGGTCTCCCCCTGGATTGTACCTGTGAGGCATCTTGCATTTCATTCCCTGTCTGAGTGGAGGGAAACTTCTTTACAGGTTGGGTGACAGTGGTGGTCTCACTGTGACATGAGTGTGCTGGCTGAGTCTACAGCACAATGCTGTTGATCTCCTCCGGACTTTCATGAAAAATTGACATAAGTGAATACCTGGCTTATTCTTGATAGTCTTAGCTGCAGGAGTCTGTATTGCATTTGTGGTGTTTTCTCACAGTGCACCTCAACACAATTGTCTCAGAGATATCAAGAAAGAGTGGTGGACGTTGATTATAAAAGTCCCGCATGGTGTGTAGTGGTAGTGTGCATGCCCAGGTCACTCAAGATGGCTGTTCTCTTGCTCTTTGCACATGCCCTACTTGAAAGTCCATGCTTTATCTACACCCTGCTCATAAGGATATGCTTTCACCCTTGCCCCAAAACTGCGGCACTACAGGAAATCTGATCCTGTCACTTCCATGTTTAAAAGTCTATGAGGATCTCTTGCTTACAAAAGAAGTTGACAGCTCACTAGCTGGGTATATAAGGCCTTATACAATCGAATTCTAACGGAAAAGTTCAGACTAGACTGTTCTTACTGACACAAGTCCTCTAACTGTTCATGGCAACACATCCTATTTCTACAATCTGAAGATCTTTTATGTTTCTTTTGTTTATGTCTTTACTTTTTCTAAAACTCCCTTCCTCATTCATCACAAGCTTGTTGAACTCCTATAGATTCTTAATCTTTCTTAAATTTCTCTAAACAGAATGTTGATTCTTGCTCTGAATCTCCAAGAAATTCTTTTTAACCTTTAATATAGAGTACAGGGCTTTTCATTATTATGTTTTTTTATTATTTACATACATGGCTAGAAGATCATTCCAAGTAACAACTGTGTCCTCATTCAAGGCAAAAATGTCTGGCGGGTATCCAGTTAATATATCTTAAAATAATACATTCAGTAGGCTATCCTCTTTTTTCTTTGTTAAGAGTGAAAACAATGTTTGTTTATCTCTTTACTCATTTATTTTATAAATACATTGTATATATATGATACATATCTATATATAAATACTATGTGTTAGTCATGAGCAACATCCATGACAGAAATCTGCAGTTTCAGCCAAAACCTCACACTGTATCTAAAGCAACAGAAACTGAGTAAGAATCACTTTAAGTGGACTTCGTGCAAACATTTCAGTCTGCTGTGCTCCTCCCATGGGTGAAGGAACAGAAAATGAAGTATTTGGCTCTCAAGGAGTATGGCACAATTCTTGGCTCACGTTGATAAATATTGATCTTATATAAATTCCTCAGGAGAGGCAGTTGATGGTTCTCTGAGCAACACATACAAAGTCCCCACTCCCTTTAATGCAGACATAATCATTTGTGAATAGAGCCCAACATTCTGTGAATAAGTTCAAGATGACTGATATGCAAAGATTTTTCTCATTTGAGTGCAAACCTAAATTTAAGCAAGCAGTCAGACTACATGAAGTTACAATGCCCTTTTGTTCACTCTAACTTGAGGGCTGCATAATACATTTCCAAGGGTAAATATCATATGCTTCCAAGTAAACACCATTAAGTATGACTACACATCTGTGCCTTTATTAAAACTGCAGGCAAGGGGACAGCTCTTTATAGATCTCATGTCACGATCACTCAATTTTAAGTTCAGTTGCTGATGTGAAGTGGATTGTTAGTGTATGTCTGTGTGTGAAGTTGTGCAGAATTCCTTTTCTTTGACTACAGTTGAGTCACACCTTGGGTTTCATCTGGAAAGTGTGAATAGCACAATGAGGAGT